GTTTATGACAAAACCGGTGCCATCATGGCACCGGATACCGGTACCCATCCCTAGTATCTGTATGCTTGCACTACACTCTGGTGTTAAAACCAAAAGCAAGCAAACTACTTCCTTTTTAGTTACTTCGATTTTTAGTGCAGATCACCATTGTGTTATGGAAAATGTGTTATGGAAAGACTGCAAATTCTCCAGAGTCTGTGATTCATGCAGGAGTAGAATACTTTGTCTGTCCTGTCTGTAACAATTGAAAATAAAAATACATAAATAAATAAATAATAATAAAGGTCAATCAAATGGACCAATACGGCAAGGCCATGATGATCCACTTGGTAAAGTAAATCCGTTGGGCATCTTTCTTGGCCTTCAGACAGTAATTCTGATGGCTAAAAAGAAAAAAAAAAGGAGTTGAATACTTTCTTTCTTCTTGCTATTATTCTTCTTATTATTAATATTATATTTTAATGAAATGAATCATTACTGACATCCTATGGATCAAAAAATTGTTGGTGAAGTGATGAACATGCTTAAAAAAATATATCAAACTCACCATTTTTGGTTCTATTTTGAGAATAAGAATGTTTTTAACACCACTGCATCCTGACACATCAGGCAGACCCTCCTGCAAAACTTTTGCTCCACTGACTCTTGCACATCAGCCAGATGTGATATTTTTTATCTTGCAAATGAACTGCTGAACTTGCTACATTTTTTAAAAAGTGATTGGCTGATCAAAGGCGCAGCTTGATTACAACTCCAGTTTTGCATCCTGTGCATCTATAAGATAAAAGAGCTGAATCTCAACATGACACTGGCCTACATGCATGTCTTTGTGGGCTTTTCTGCTGCTGTTGCTGTTGCTTGTTCGCCACTCTTCTAGGGAACTTCACAGCTACACAGATGTGCCTACACTGCCTATACATATGGCAACGATTACCCCTGTGTTCTTTAATGAGGCTGAAACATGTTCTAGCCCTGTAGAGGCCCAAACTTGTCATCTTTTGATGTATATAAGGCATGTGAAATGAAATGTGATACTCAATATTCATTTTACAATCCTCCCAGCAGATGCTCAGTTAATTGGCTGTGTGCACATGTTGTGTACAGTGAATAAAAGACAGTGTGCAGATTTGTACACAGCGCACGATAGATGTGGGTTGTATGGATGCACAGCGGCAACAGCAGGCGAAAAGATTAAAAGAGCTTTAAGGTTCATTCAGGTTTTAAATGGAGTCTGAATTTTGTGCGATTCCTCTGGATATATTTTCATGGGCGACATCTCCTAGCAGTCAAACGCCACCGATAACTGATTATCTTTGGCAGTTAATGAGAGATATGCCTGTGGTAGGTTATCTATCCCAGCACAAAGCACATCAGTACAGTATGTCCCCTGTGTGAACATGTTAGTGTGAAGTTTAAGACTTTCTTTTTTAAGAGATAAATTAAGGGATACACGTCTCTAGTGTGCACAAGGGAGGTAGAACTGGCCTTCAGCTAATTGAAGGGTGATTCACTAACTCAATCCCAAGGCTCCTCCTGTTGGCATGTCTTAGACCTAAATACTGAACCCAAAGAAGTGGAAGTAGCGCATGCGCCATTAGCGTGCTGCCTGCTGTAACCCTAATTTCCTTCGGGATTAATAAAGTATTGATATTGATATCTGTGTAGATTCTCAGTCATCCAGGTCATGGTCATCTAAGGAGCATGGAAAGAAAAGCAACTGCACTTTGTTATGTTTCTTGAAGACATTTCACCTTTTCAGTTGAACTGAGGAAGCTTCTCGGATAAGAGGCGAAATGTCTTCAAGAGACTTGAAGAAGTTCAGTTGCTGTTATTTCCAAGCTCTTTAGATTAGTGTAGTAATAGTGCAAAGGACTTTGAGTCGTTGAACAGATCTCACCTCTGAAAAATGCTGTCTGTTTACTTATCTTAGTATCTCTCTATTTGAAAAATCTCCTTAAGCCTCTTTTTCACTAGCACATGCTCAGCTTGATTCAAGTCCATTTTGGGGGTTTTGCATTTGGTGGCAGTACCTCGTACCTCGTCCTTCACAAGAATCAACCTGGCATTTTTAAACACAGCAACAAGGGAGAAGGCTGCAAACCGAGGAGCCTCATTCAGCCATGCAAACACTTTTCTGTGCTTAAGTGTTTTCTGTCTATCAATCACACACATTCATCAGAGAAAAACTTGGGGTTAGTATCTTTCCTAGGGACATTTGGCATGCATAGTGGAGCAGCCAGGGATCAAACCACCATCCTGCCAATTAACAGATGATCTGCTCTACCGCCTGAGCTACAGCTACGTCTTCTGTGGTTGGTGCTTGTAGATTTCAAGATTTATAGTTCAAAATAATCCTTTTTTATCTAAGACTGAGCACTGCTGTAACCTCTGTGTTCGTCTTCTGTTAGCTACTTCAGCTACCTTACCCTTTAAGACCAGCCTGTTTGTTCTGATTGGCTCCCCCTCAGAAACACATGATTTTAAAAGGTGGTGGATGGTTTTCTGTGCTCAAAGCCAGTGTGTGTCCTGGTAATAACAATATTAGGTATATGCACTCTGTTTGACATCATTTGGATCCAAGAGTAGAAAAACTGTCTGAAGTTGTGTATTTAGAGCCGTTTTAAACCTGAGATTTTGGTTTCACTGAGCCACGGTGAGTGGCTCAGTGGGTTGGGAAGCGCATCTGTAACTGGAAGGTTGCTGGTTTGATCCCCAGCTCTGTCTATCTTGGTCGTTGTGTCCTTGGGCAAGATACTTCACCTACCGCCTACTGGTGTTGGCCAGAGGGGCCGATGGCGCGATATGGCAGCCTCGCTTCTGTCAGTCTTTGGGTTCCTTGAAAAGCGCTATATAAATGCAATCCATTATTCTTATTAATTTGCACATACTCTGACCTCAATATGTGCAGCTTTACCCAAGTTTGATGTGAACATCCTCTACTGCAATGGTACACATATGACAGAAATAAGAAAAATAAAGCATTAGATGTCCCGTTATATCACTAACCCTCTGCATTTATCTGTATGTTTTCCTGTCTGCCTTCTTATCTACAGTACCGCTCCAGTGACAATTATGGGATATATCACACGAGCCCAACACAGCCCAGCCTGATCCGTCCTGTTGTTCTTTGGTCTCAACAAGATGTGTGCAAGTGGCTGAAGAAACACTGTCCACACAACTACCTGACCTATGTGGAAGCGTTCTCCCACCACGCCATCACAGGTCTGAGATAGTAGAAAACAGTCCCACTAGTGAATTCATGAATTACAGTTTAATTGTAAAAAATGACTTTGTCATCACCTTAAAGGCCGAGCGTTACTGCGCCTGAATGGGGAGAAGCTGGAGCGCATGGGTTTAGTGCAGGAGACACTTCGACAGGAGCTGCTGCAACAAGTGCTGCAGCTCCAGGTGCAGGAGGAGGGACGCAACCTGCAGCTGCTCAGCAGAGGTGAGGATGTGTGTGTTTTCAGTCTTCCTACTCCTTGACTTTCAAGACACAGTTTGACATTTTTCACATTAAAATTTCTGACTCCTATTCCTGTCAATTAAAAAGTAATCTTTAGCTAGCAGTGGTTTAGCTTAGCATTAAAATTACATGTTTTATGATGAAGATAACTGGAAAAAAAATATTGACAATGACTCCATAGTTTGTGCTGCTGTCCCACAGCAGGAGGGCCCAGGTTTAAACTCAGGAAGGCAGGTTAAAACTTGCATGCTCTCTATGCTTGTGTGAGATTTCTCCACTCTGTTTTCTCCTGTTCTTGTAAAACCTGCTGCTGTAATTATGCATATCTGTGCCAAGGATACATTTCACTTCTTGGTTGAATAACGTTGGAAAAATGTTGGTGGGTGTAGTTCTGAAACAAAGGGGCTTTTCACATGGGAGGCATTCTGCTGTGTGTCCACCGCCACCAGCCCTGCATCTGTCTGGAGTCAGGGAAGTGTTATGGCTCTCTGTGATGTAAATATGAGAACAGCAATGTAAACAAACAACACTTACACAATAAGCGGGTCTGTTTTCTATGTTTTCCATTCACTTTATTCAGATGAGACTACTGTGGTTTTAATATACAAAGCAACACTGTGACGGGGGCCCCACCCTGTGGGGTGCTCGGGGTAGAGCACCTGGTGGCCCATGGTGACTGGCCAGATGGAGCCTGAAAGCAGTGCATGGGTCAGCCCTTCTGTAGGGTTCAGTAAAAGATGTGGTTTTCTTTGTTTCTTAAACCAATTTTTTTGTTCACATGTCTGTGAACTACACTAAAAGCACTGCGACTTCTCATTGAAAATAATTGAATGCTAGCAGTTGTTATAAGCCAACAATGGAGTTTGACGTAACTTGGCTTTAAGATTAATGGAAAAGATTCGATGTCTTTAAATTATGCAGTGACATTTTTAGTCAAAATTCTGTTCAAACTAGAGCTAAGAGAGATAGCAGAGAGGATTTTCTTCCATGCTTGTATTAGGCAGCAAAGTAAGACAGTAAGGCTGAAGTCCCCAAGCTAAACAGCAGACATTAGTTTCCTCTGCCTACACACAGTCGCTGCTTACAGCTCATAAAACTCTCCTAATTAGAAGCATGAGAGCCCAGTAGAAGTGGTTGCATCTTAGCTGTGCATGATTGGCAGAACAAATGAAAATCAATCAGTTAAACAACTTATCAGAAACTCTTGGCTGGCTGTGCCTTTTCAGTCTTTGGCCTTTTAAAAAAAGGAAGTAAAAGCTAAAGTATAGAAAGTCCCAGTTATTTGTTTTTGTGGGGGTTTAGGTGGAATGGATGGATGCCTGAAGAAAGAGTTTGACTCACAGCACCCTTTTAATTAACAGCAGATTGTTGGTGTTACACTTAAACAGTGTTATGTGTTAGAGGTGCTGGTAGGTGCTTCTTTTGCTAGCTGCTTTCAGGTGATTCCTGTCTTTATGCTAAGCTACTTTATGCCAACGGCTGGTTGTCGTCTAATGTAGATATAGACGCGTTAGGGATGTTATGATACTAGAAATGTAGTAGTCAGTACTAATATCAGTGTTAGTTATATGATTGTTGATACCCAATTAAATAACATAGCTACAAAAATGCGAGCAAACAAACAAACTGAATGTTCCTTGTATTTAAAATTAGCCCCCTTTATTAAAAAAAAGACCATTTATTTAAAATGTTAATATTACAGTTGTTGACAGGACTCAGGCTGAATTGTTAGGATGGTTCCCAATTAGGCTATGGAACCAAGCTGATGTCACAATGATGATAATAATAATGCAAAGTAGTTCCATGTTGACTTTTACTTCTAATAAACAAGCCTGGGCAGAACCGTCATGGCAGCTGCACTAGTCGCATGTAGGATAGGCGCATGGTGCCTCTGTCACTTCCAGACCTGCAGTACAGATGCTGTCTATGGTAGATGTAATAAAAGGACAAAACAAACTTGACGTGGATGGGTGTGTGTTTGTTTGTGTATCTGTTTTTTTGTTTTTCTTCTCTTTCAGCGACAGTGTGTCCTTTTGCTAGAGTAGATAACATGTTGTGCTTTCTTTGTGCTTTGACCTGTGATCTTATCTTTTCTCCTGTTTGTCCCCTTTTCTATTTTCTTTTGTATTGTCTTTACTTCCAGCTGTCGGCTCAGGCATTATTACACTATACATGTATAAAATTAATTAAATAAAAAGAAATCGGTCAGCAAAAGGAGCCTGTATAGAGTTTATAGGGATCCTCTTGGCAAATCGAATATGTTTGGCACATCAGTGCATTCAGACCATGATTCTGCTTGCTGAAGCTTGTAGAAAAGAAAGGTTTAAAAACAAACATTAAACAATTATTGTCATATTTTGAGAATTTTGATATGAATTGGTATCTTCTGATGATATCCCTTAAATACATGTTATATCAGGCCTTGTGTCTCTTTAGACTGAACATGAATGTTTGTGCTGATTTTTTACGCTCTAGTGAAAGAAAAGCAATAGTTATAATAAGCAGTCTGTTTTTAAAACTGACTTAATGTTCATGGACTATCCTGACACAAAATGGTATTTGTCACAGTTTGTGTTACTGTGTTAAGTTGTCCTAAATTATCTGACTGTTAAGTCTTTTTCATGGTACAAACAGCTCAGTAACAGCTAACTGACATATATTCTTGATTTGTATCTACAGAAACCGTCAGACCTCCACAGTGTTGTTCAGATGGACTTGTTTTGTCTGCAGATTCCCAAAAGATAAAGTTAAAAGGCATTCATGAACCACAGCACTGAAGATAACAGACTCAAGACATGACAAGTATGGGAGTATTCCTGTTGGTCGAAAAAGCATCTGCAGAGAGCTGTAATATTGAGTTATTATTGTGTTTTATAATTATGTTGTTTAAATATTCCAGTTATCAACAGAATATAAGCCTTTTGTACAGTTCTGACATTTATAGCTAACCAGAACAGTTTAATCACTTGTAAATTCAGAGGGTTGGGATATGTATGGATTAGACGCCCCAGCTCCCACTGAACAATATGGTGGCAGCAGTGATGTATTGTTCCAATAACCAGCACGGACCAACACAAAATCTTTGTCTATACTTATCTGTAAGATCGAGCGGTGAAAGCTTATTATTGCACCTGTAAAAAAAAAAGTTTAAAAAACTTGCTATTAAAAGTTAAAAAAAAATATCCGAAAAGTGTTCATCGTTCTGTGTTTTGCAGGGTCCTTTGGAAG